GTGTGTCTGCGTGTGTGTCTGCGTGTGTGTCTGCGTGTGTGTCTGCGTGTGTGTCTGCGTGTCTTTATCTGGACGCTGAGAAACAGGATTGAGTTGGCCTTAAATGACAGGAACTAATGTGTACATTCAGGATTGCGTCACTATTGAGATTAAAATTAGTGAAGAAAGTCCATGCGCCTTAAACATGCTGCTAATCAGCTGTTCACTATTCCTGCCAAAGATTCGACCACGTGAACAGCAGAACATGGTTCTGATTTGTTCATAAATGTCCTTTGTTTGCATTTTATATGAGCCAATGCAGGAAAGCCATATCTTTTTTTATTTTGTAGAAAAAAACAAACCAACAGCAGAATAAACATTCAAATTTACAATAACCTACTGTAATTTATGAATGATTTTCATTATATCTCTTGTTAAAGTGCTGAGTCCGGTCTAAAAGAGGAATGTGGATTAATGTTGCTGTCCTGCATTTTACTGTAATTAAAAAAAAAAATTAAGGTTATTTTTAGATAACTTTGCACACCTGCATTACTGACCGGACAATGTGTTAGAGGAGGAGCTGTCCTTCAGTTTAGACATTAAACCCATTTCCTTGGTCATTACAAAGCTGAGGAAGAGTTGGAGTTTTAACCCTGGAGTCCTGGCTCAATTGCACCCTGAACTTAGACAGTCAGGCCTCTCTAAAGTTCCCCTTTAATTCAGCTGGTGGAGCGATTTCTCACTTTTTGATGTGATTTGGTGTACAGCGGGCTTGGTGGTGCAGAATGGCTGTTGTCACCCAGGCTGCTGCTCCTCTGGGGTAAATAAAGTGTCTCATGTAGGGGAGGGCCCACTTCAAGATGAAAAGGCAGTACAGTATACACGATGCAGTCAAGGAATGACCGTCTTGTAGTCGAATTTCAGATATCGCATACAATCAGAATCGTAAAAAATGTGTTTTACAAGGATAAAATCTTTGGTATAAATATTGGTTTAAATGCAGACTCGTACAACACCAAAGGAAAAGGCAGTTTTAAAGCTTAATTGTTCTACTTGGGGCAATAATGAATATTAAAAGGATGAATGCAGTAGTGTTCTAGTAGGCAGGTCATTTTCCTGACAATAGCGTCATTCTTGTCTGAGTTGTGGACAGCTGTGCTCGTCTTTGTTCATGTTCAGAGAGTCTGTGTGTTTGTACTGAATGACACAATATCTGCCAGTTTAACGTGCAAAATCACATATTCCCTATTCGGTCTGGATTATTGGGTCTTGGATGAAAGGAGCAGTGCAGGGTGAAACCCAGCCGAAGGTTAAGCACAACTTTCAAATTAGCCGCTCAACAGACTGAGATTGTCGGATGAGTGAGCCTCTCTCTGCCCCTTGCCCAAGTACCCACTACCTGCATCCCCATCTTTTTGCCCGTGTCAGCTGCGTGTTGAGTGACAGCCGAGAGAAGGCTTCACAGGCTCACTGACACTTCTTACTGCCCTTTTCATTACAGTGGGCATAAACGGAGTAGGGCATTACCTGTGAATGCAGAAGGAGAAGGTGCAGGCATCAGATTCATGTTAATTCAAGATTGTAAAAGTTTGTCATTACTGTTGTTTTTTTTATCAATCAGTGTTATTGTTCATTTATTTAAGACCAATGCATTAGTACTTTAATTATCTTATAAGGGAGGGTTCTTTGTCTTTTAGCCTTACCTGCCATATACTGCAGTACTTGATCTGTCGGTATGGGGTGGACTTGGTTAAATGTGAATTGTGCTGTTCGTGACAGTTCCCTGAACCAAACCCTCACAAATCTCAAGACCCTCATATATTATGTGGGAAGAAATGGAGGCCAAATTGGGTAAAAAAAAAAACATACAAATCAGAACCTTTCATGAATGATCAGTCACAAATGCTTTCAACTGCAGCTTAACACAGTTCTGTATATTTTTTTTACAGGTAATGGGAAATGCCATTAAATCTCAGTTTGCCTGCACATATAGAGACAGTGACCCGGATAGGGACAGAACCCTTCTGGTCCGCAGTCTTGATCTGGGACCCTCCTGCATTCACCCAGCAGCTCGACAGGCCAGCCCTCCTGGTGGCTCCTGTGACAAGCGACCTGCTGCAGGTCAGTAATGGAGTGGTTTGTCATTTCCCATAGAAGAAGAGAACGTGTTATTAGGTTTTAAATTCAGGTTCTCTGAATTTAAAGGCATTTGTGTTCCCTCCTTTGCTTGTCTAGAAGATCTGGACTCCACATGTAGGTTACTTAGATGATGCTGATCATCCCTCATAACAGTGTTATAAGCCCTCTTAATTGAGAGGGTTTCCTTTCTTAATAGACGATACCTTCAGGTGCACCCAATCTTGAGAGAGAGGTGACCTATAAGACCAACTGGACTGGGGTCCACCAGTACCAGGGTTGGGGGCCTTTGCCTTACAGCCCTGCTTAGGCCTGGCGCGTGCTGTGATGTGTGTGGCAGGTTCATGGTTCACCAAGGAATTCCTGTATCCCCAACCAGTGCCAGTTACAGCAACTTCTAATTGCTAACTTCCAACGGCCTGGATGGGTGAAATGGTCACTTCTCATTTGTGACCTTGCATATGATCTTATGCCTGGGATCCTGACCAGTGCCTGTGATGCTCAGACATTATTTTCCCCTTGGAATGGGGGAATCCGATGCCCTGAGGCACAGGCTGGATTTAAATCTGTCATCTCTAGGCTGGATTGGATTTATATGCAATCCATGTGGGAGTTTTTATTCCTACTAAGCTGCAGTTAGTCCCCCAGATGTTTATTTTTTTAGTAAGTCAGCATTTGATTTTCTCCCATTGTTCTCATTTGGGACCGGCAGTTGTTTTTTTTCTTTCCTTTGGAAGATTTCTTCTCTTTCTACATGCAAAGTCTTTTCAGTGTGGTATATTAATTGGCAGCACCCATTACACCATTGAAGGTTTAAGAATTTTTTTTAAGCCTGTTCTAATTCTTTGTACAATCCTTTTACACTTTTCTTTTTCTCAGTACACTTGTGTTTTCCCAAATGAAAGAACCAGTCTGTAAGTGATTTCATGTTTTGTAAACTGTTTTTTCCCTGCTATGTGAGAGTGAGTCCTACAGTGTCAATTTCACCGGGGAAAGACTGGAAAGGCATTATGTTAGATGTCAAAATGACGGATGTATGGTTTCAGGACTTTCAAATACATGTCATGCCTCTAAACCTGAAGGTGAACGTCAGCGATTTCCGGTTCCTTTCCTCGCATATTTATTTTTTCACTTTTTTTTTTCTGGAAACGACAGCGCATGAAGGAGTGACCGAGAGCACAGAAAGTGAAAACTTAATCAAGAGACCTGCCTTTGGCTCCACTTCTGGAAACACTCAGCAGAAAGGAAACCTGAGCAATAAGGGCAGAGGGATTGCGAACACTCAGCCAGGAAACAAGAGCTGCAAGAGGAAAGGGCTGGACGCGCCTCGTGAAAACGGGCCCTGCAGTCAGGAGAACCAGCCTCCTCCGAAGAGAGCTCCCGAGGCACCCAAAACCCCAGACAAGCCCTCTAGAAACCCGGGTGGCAGAGCCAGAGCACCAGGGAGAACCAGCAAAGCTGCTGCCAAGCGAAAGTTGATCGCAGGGCAGGGGAAGCTGACAAACTTCTTCAGATTGTAATATAACAGAGCCGGATGGCCGTTCAGAACCAAATGCCTCAGCCCCAGTGGACTGACGGGACCAACCCCAGACATCGCGATTGCTAATCTGTTTTCAAAGGGATAATGTTGTGCACCCTGATTCATATTCTCCCAGGTTGGTTACCGAACTTCTCATTAGGATTCAGGAGGGTTTAAATGCGCTGACTTCTTTTTCAGTTCACATTTCTGTCTCGGGTGGAATTAACCCAGAAATGAGTCCACATCATGACTTGGATTTGTATTTTGGGCTAGCATTGGCAAGCAAAATCTTTCCTTAGAGATGTCATATCCATCTGCTCTCTTTTTTTAACCTTCTCATTGTTTTTTTATGTATACTGCCTTTATGGTAGAAGGAGAAATGTAAATAAAAAGTGAAGGAAAACATACATATAAAACTCAGCTTCGTGCTCCAGTTTGTGCGTTTGTCCTTTTTGTTTTGGTTATCATGACCAAATGACTTGGAGGAGTCGAGTGGTCCCCTCTCACCTGTAACCCTTGTTCTGAATGAACTGGAAGGTATACATGTCACACGTTCAGATTCTCAGGCTTGCAACATTTTTTTATTCAGGTTCTCAGATCATTTTAATAAACATTTTATACATTTTCCAGTGTATTGCAATAATAAAACAGTTTGAGCGTAACGAGCAATGCAGCGTGGTGGGACACGGGTGGAGCATGGGCAGTGCTGGGGTGCTCTTGGCCCTCGGCTCTCACACCTGCCAGCATGGCCGGTATACTCTTCCCAGCATGCATCTGAGCACTAGAAGAAAACCAGAGAGACGGGACTTGATCATCAATACCCATGTGCAAGGGCAATCGCCAGCATCTATTTTTTTCTCTTTGTGCTAAAAAATAAAATAGTCTTTACATTTAAAATGGAGATAACAACATTTTCATAGGTCTAATAAATCACAACAATGTACATGTTAAAGTTCTGTGAGCAGGAGAAGTATTGGCACAAGCTTACTGTCAAAGTCTCTTCTGCCCACTGGAATGCTGGAGCTCAGGTCTGATTCGGTGTCCCTGCGTTCCTCTTTCACAAAGGCCTGGACTTTCTCTGGCTGCTCTGCATCCAGCTCTCTGACGGTGTAGTAGGGCAGCTGTCTGGCCGGCAGATCCATGGACAGGGCAGGTCTGTAGAGACCTCTGTAGTTCTTTTTCATGCCGAAGTCCTGTTCGCGGTCAAGGTCAAAAAGACTTAGAAATGAAGGCTACAGCCTGTAAGACGGTGTGAGCTGGGAAACTGTTCTGGCAGAAAGCATACATACATACAGTATATATATATAAAATATAAGAAAATAAAATTTTCTCTTTTCTACAGCGGCTGCAGGTGACTGGTTTTGATACACAGTTACCATGCCTCATGTTTGTGATATTCTTAGTAGAGTGGTAGACATTTTGAGCATTTGACAAAGTGAAACATCTGTTCCTATCATAGGACGAAATGCTAAAATAAATCTGCCAGCTGTTCGGCAGAGCAAGGAGAGACTTACTGTGAAAATGAAGATCTTTGAGTTTCCCCCTTCGTTTCCCACGGTGCCTTCTGGGGCCAGGTAGCGGTTTGATGGCGCGGTGCTGATGCCCTTGTCAACCACCTCTTCATTCAGGAACGGCTCGTGGCTAAAGGCATCGTTCAGCATTCTGGAGTCCTCGATCTTGGCAGCAGATACTGCTATTGAGTCTGTGTGGCATTCAAAAAGTAGCGCCACCGCCAGTAAAATGGAGTATGCCGAGAAACTCATTCTGACTTGATTCAGGTTCAACAGGTTCGCATAGAAACCCAACTAATCAATTGCTTTCCCTGACTGACTGCATCCCACAGGTTTGTCCATCCCTTTATATATGGTGGCAGGAGAAGAGAAGTGGAAATAAGGTGACGTCTAGCTTTGAACAGCCTTTTTGTGAGTCAGATATGATTAAAGGTGCGAGACCCCTGAATGAGGTTTGTTTTCATCCTGGTAAAAATAAGTTAAGCTTCACAGAAAGGTGGTTGAAGTTGTCTGCGAATCAATGAGAATTACACAGTGGGGTGGTATTGTAGTAGTCAGTACACTGGGCAATCTAATTTTAAAGATTATCTTTGAAGTGTTTTTTCTGATTGAATTAATCAGCTGGTGAGGAATGAAAGAAAGGTTGGACTATAGACTTCTTTTCTTCTGCAAGAAGAAAGTCGCAGTAAGTGTGCTGTATCTCTTAAACCCGCTTCCCTCACCGACACTGAAGTGTGCAGTGTGCCTCCTGATGGTTCTGCCACCTTGCTTTGATGTGGCATTTCATTTTCAGAAAGAAAAGAAGTTGGAAAAAAATTGCCCTGTTGGCAATGCATTGGTTTGCCGATGAAGGAAACATTTGGAGTCTTCATCACAAACTTTAGGTTTGTGTTTGCCATGAGGATGTTTTCTGCAATCACAAGACTGGCTGTAGTCATGCGATCTCCGTTCTCTGTTTTTCAAACATGAAGGCCAAAGGCTGGGGTTGTGTTCTTTGTGATAGCAGGACACATCTCATTAACTGTTAGTGATGATGGCTGTCTTCCATGAGTTCACATAGAGCAGGGGTGCCCACACTGGTCTGGTCTGTTTAAAACAGTGGCACCTGAAGGGCTGGAAGAAGCTGCTCTATGGGTCCAGAAGCCAGTAGCCAACTAGTTTGGCTTTTTTGGTTTCTTTAGAGTTGAAATGAAAACCTACAGACACGCTGACCCTCCAGGACCAGGACTGGACAGCCCTGCCACAGACACGCTGACCCTCCAGGACCGGGACTGGACAGCCCTGCTACAGACACACTGACCCTCCAGGACCGGGACTGGACAGCCCTGCTACAGACACACTGACCC